ATTGGTTGACTTCACCTTGTACAGGTTTGGCCAGTTTTGGTACTCCTCCAACAACAGTGTAACTTCTTCCCGATTCCACGACATTATGAATAACAATAACAATAAACGCTTCTTCGTACGACTCGAACAGGACCACACCCATAAATGTTAAGTGAGGTTATGTTGTTGACGTTGACATTTGATATTGACATGCACGGAAATAACCCTCTGCGCCGATTCTCACGCATATTCTATAGAACGGGTTTTATATTTTCACCATGAAAATTTTCACAAGAATTCTTTTAAGTGTAATACGACAGCAAAAATTTTCGGCATAATTATGACCATAGTTTTCGGAGTAATTGTGTGTAAAACGGCTCTAACAGATGAAATATTGCTCTGGAATACTGTGATACTTTATTTTTAAAATGCCTAAATTATATTATTACAGAGCCATGTATTGTCAGCCGATTAATTTTTAACTACGTTTTCTGGAACAATTTTATTTATACTAAGTGACATATAAATCCGAACACCCAGATTAAATGGTTTTATTTTAATAAAAGTTGGTGAATGTACTTATCTCACTGTAAATAACAAGTGAAAAAATTTTCAGCCTTATCAGTTGGACATTCCGGTTTTTATACTGCTTTTTTTTAATTCACTAACGCTCTAAAAATGAATATTTCAGCCGCAGTAAAAAATCAACGTTGGCGGATTTTGGTTCTTGACATCCTTTACGATCGGTTACGATGCCTAGAGTACGGAGACCTGTACGATTTCGTCAACTTAGTGAGTTTGATAGGGGCCGTATAGTGGGACTTCGGGAAGCTGGCCTTTCTTTTCGGGCAATTGCAGTTAGAGTGCAAAGAAGTGTAGACACTGTGGTTAGGTGTTGTCAGGCATGGCTTCGAGAAGGCCGTACGCAAAGAACAAGGCGCACTGGACGCCGCCGTAGAACAACAGACCGTGAAGATCGCCGCCTAAGATTATTGGCCTTAAGGGACCGTTTCTCCACTACCAGGTCCATTGCAAATGAATGGTTTGCAGAACACGGAAGACCTATTGGCATGCGAAGTGCTTACCGACGAATGAGAAGTTTTGGCTTGTCTTCATACCGGCCACACTGGGTCCTCCTTTTAACTCGAGAACACCGACGTAATCGCCTTGAGTGGTTCAGACAACGGTCACTCTGGGATCAGGAATGGAACAGTATTGTCTTTAGTGACGAGTCTCGATTTTGTTTAGGCGTGCACGATGGTCGTGCCAGGGTTAGAAGGCAACGTGGTGAAATGAGGAATCCACAGTTTTTTGTTGAAAGACATGTTCATCACACTGTTGGAGTTATGGTTTGAGGTGCTATAGCTTATGGTTCCAGGTCATCTTTAATCTTCATCAGAGGTAACATGAACGCGCAGCGTTATATCCACGAAGTTCTAGAACCCCATCTTTTACCCTATCTTGACACCCTGGCAGATCCGACTTTCCAACAAGATAATGCCCGACCACATGTTGCAAGAGTCACAATAGACTTCTTTCAACATAATGATGTCACATTGTTACCATGGCCACCAAGATCTCCCGACTTATCCCCAATTGAACACGTGTGGGATATGATGGGTAGGAGATTGCTCAATTTGCAACGTCCTCCTCAGACTCTAGAAGCAGTTCGAGAGGAGTTGGTGGTTGTCTGGAATGAGATACCACAGGAGGACATTGACCACCTTATCAGAAGCATGCCTAGGCGCGTTGGAGAATGCGTAGCACATCAGGGTGCATCCACACATTATTAAAGGTCAAAGGGCTTTAAAGCAGTGCAATCATTTTGAAATTTTTATCATTTACTTATTATGCTTCATTAAGTACTTATACAAAATTTTATTAAAATAAAACCATTTAAACTGGGTGTTCGGATTTATATGTCACTTAGTATATTATCACTCATCCGTTTTTGCTGGATACCTGGTTAACCGTACGTCTAGTATGCTTCATATTTTACGGTATAATCAGCAAAAACATCATAGTCATCGTACTTGAAAGGTATATAAACACCTGCACATAATCACTGACTATTCTCACAACTTCGAACCACGCTTGCCGTAAGCATTTCCTAAACATATCCGTTTTTATTTCGAAACGGTCATTTCAAGCTTGATTGACATTAAGGTCTCTTTTAGGTGAACCTGCTCGTTACATTATTACCATTGCCGTTAATTTCTACACCGAAATTATCGATGTAGAATATATTTTTATTCGTAATAAAGCGATACTGCAAAAAATAATTATGTCACCAATAGTCCAGTGAAAAAGGGAGCTTTGAGGAATAGTGGACGGGGAGGTCGATGTTTGGTGCAAAGGAATCTCAAATTTGGTACACCCCTAAAAATACGGGAATGACTGAAGTTTTTAATAAATAATAAATAGCTGCGTACTAGGTATACCATAGCCGCTTTCCATTGCTAATCTGTTTGTTAATGTCTTGTTTTGACGTTGACAATCTGTTTCACACTGCCAAACAATGAAAATGTAAACACAGTTTGCCTTTATTTTCAGAAACATCGTTAGCATATCTAATTGATGCCTGATGATGCTTTTAGAATGATAGCTCAACACGTCAGAGGTCTGCATTTTTATTGTAAAGCTCCTGGATAAATGTGTAGAATTCATATTTTAGTGTAGACAGTCAAACTTATTTTCAAAGTGTCTAGTTATAGATGAAACCAACCACAAGCCGCTATGAACCTGCATTCTTACACTCTCTTGTGATCTTTATTATTCAGCATCATCTCAAATGTAGATAACATACTTGTGACTTTGGGTCATAATATCAGTTTTTTACCAACCTCCCTTGTCTGATACCGGGTATAGCAGTAAATGTAGTCAGAATGTTGAAAAAAAAAAGTCGAAGAAATTATTTTTTCATTGTGTAACACTTCTAGTGTTACTGAGTATAGTATTTTTCTTTAATTTCTTTTTTACGTTTTTGGTGCTGTTTTACAGCAAATTAACTTTGTTATTTCAAACGTAGTCGTTTCTGTAACGTCACAAATTTCAGGACACCCTGTATAACTAATCCTTGTTGTTTTTTTTTTCGGCAAAATCTGAAAATTCTCTGTGTTGTGAAGATTTTGATCCCCCAAGTTCATTTTCACCGGGCTGTAACAGAGACAAAACCGTGAAGAATTTGTGTGATATTTGTATTTGTACGTATAAGAACTGAATCGTTATGCATTGGGATTTTTAGATAAATAAGTATATATGTACAGATAGAATGAAATCTAGAAAGTAAAACATGTTTTTTGTCCTCCGCTGATTTATGCAAAATTACATGCATGAGGTGTTCTTTAGAACATTATGGGGTTATGTAAATAAACCACGGTTTTGGTGGTATCGCCAAAATTTGTGTATATAAACTCTGACATGCACTATCATGGTACAGCAGTTTTCGGTAGTTCCGTTTATTGAATAGTTACCAATTCGGGAAAATGATCGGAAAATTCGTAAGTAGAGAAAAATTCTCATTCGAAAATGTTTGCCTTATATTATTGGATTCAGCCTGTTAATCCCATTTTTTATCTCATATATATGTATGTAATAGTAGTTTATTTAGCCAAATTTCATGCAAAGTTCACATGGCAGGTCAAAAGAAAGGTAGCATAGTTGAAATATTATAATAAACGTGAATATAATACAGAGTGAGTTAACAGTGTTACACTATAAACAAAAATATAATAAAAAATACTTTCATTATGACTAGAATATATAGGTTATAATCTAACAAGATTTTTATTTAAAAACAAAACTAGAGTAAAATAGATACTCTTCAAAGCACTATACAAAAAAAAAAAAATAAAAACATCTTGCTTACTGATTTGGAAAACTAAAAAATTCATTTATAGAATAAATATAAATAAATAATTAACACATTATTAATGCCAGTCGAGGGAAGAAATGTCGTTAAAACTTCTGAGACCGTATATGTACGAAAATGCGTGATAAATACGACTGCTAAATTCAAACAGTTAAAATTTCATCAAAAATCACTAAAATGCCTATAAAATTGGAAGTACAAAACAAAATTATTGTTTTTGCTGCTTTTATGATCAAAAAGTTACAAACTATACTAAGTGACATATAAATCCGAACACCCAGTTTAAATGGTTTTATTTTAATAAAAGTTGGTGAATGTATTTATCTTACTGTAAATAACAAGTGAAAAAAAATGCATTTTTTGTTGTAATGCTTACTTATTCCTCAAAGGGGCTAGATGGTGCCAAAAATAATCCTTTATGACTTGAGTCACAGCGTTGCGTGGAAGTGTAGTCAACCTACTTGACGCCCTTTTTTCGTAAATACTTCACGTGCAGATACCACATTTAAAGCTGCAGTTTTACGGATCAGTTTTAATGCCCGGCTTCATAGAAGTTACAACAGAAAAGTTCTTGACTAGCGCAATTCAAAGCATATTTAATAAAAAAAATTTAGATTTTTTCATTTACATTTCATACATAACATTGATTTTATCTAAATGCACTTGATATACGGCTTTATCTCTCACAATTTCCAAAATCTTCGACAAGAAGCCACAAGACTTAAATAGCGAACATTTATCTGTTATGTAATATGGTACAAATATTTTTTTTCACTACTTACCTCGAAATCGTCATTATTTCTAAGAAGAAAAAATCGTTAGGAAGCTAAATAATGTATGTGTCCATTCGTATAGATCTTCTATGACTTGTTAGGCATATAATTATCACGGCTATGAATCTGTTTATCAATTTTTCAAAACAAGTAATAATTATTGTTTATATTTATATTGCTTTATAACTTGTTGTTGATTGTATTTATTTATCCCTTCATTTTGACAGCTAGAAAGTTAAATCAGCTACTTGATAAATTGGTCTATTTCAAAATGAGTACGCACCGTTCATGTGCTTCATTCGGACAGTGTTGCCAGACGTTCAGAAAATTCTCATATATGCTCTAATCAAATTAATCGTAGTGGAAAAAAATCATACCTTGGTGGAAAAGTATGCGATTATTGTCCCCGCAAATTATACCCATTGGCGCTATGCTCAGCCCATTTAATGGCACGCTTCTCCACTAAAGTATGTAATATATTATTCTTTGTCTTTCAGACTCTTCTGTGCTTAGTTGCCCTTTTTGCAGTAGCAGTCTGTCATGTAAGTATCTTTCTGGTATAGTATAACAGTAATAGATAGATAGATAAATAATAATTATATAGATAAATAATTTATTTTATTTTAGAATATACGATTAAGAAAATTACGTTTTAAGAAGTTTGGGCTAAAATATCTGTAAATAAATAAAATATTTCCGCAGATGGAAAATAATTGTGTGCGGGTCAAATATTTATAATTTACCACAATAAGAACTTAAAATACTAAACTTTCTCAGTAGTTTTAAATGGACACTCATAGAGTTACATAATTTTGATAAAGGGTGAAATTCAACTAAATTAGAGAATGAAATTAGGTGAAAATATTGGTCTAAAATTATATTGGTATTTTTAATTTCACACATTTGTTAAAGGTCATATTTAGGCATGTTAAAGATCCATATTTTAGTTCTGAATATCTGAAGTTATATCAAAATTTTGGTCTACGTCTATATTGGCAGTTGCCTGATGTCAATCATTTTTAATATGTCATGTCTGGGTAGGCAAAAATTCCATTTTTTATTTCTGAATGAAAAAGGCTTTCTGACTGTATTTGTTTTATCTGTTGTCGTATCATATTGACATGGCTGGAGAATAAGAAAATAGAAGACCTTTATAGAACAATCTTTTCTGGTTTGGGAACATCAATACAATTTTTATTCCTGGTACTGAATTCGTGTCTGACAATGTCAGTGCTATGTTGATTTTTACATTGCCACGTAAATACAGGGTGTCCGCAAAGTTGAGGTTTTCCTTTTCAGAAACAACTACCCTTGAAATAACAAAGGTAATGTATAGTGAAACGAGGGCGACCAAGTAAAAAAAATAAAGGAAAAAGTACTCACTCTCCAGTTGACGAGAAGGGCTAAGTACGTCTCTGCCCGAAATCATACCGCTCCAACAGAAAATGAAATCAGCTGATGCGCTACCGAGCAGACGCAGGCAAACAAGGAAGGCAAAATGTTGCGTAAAAAGTCTAGGTATTGCATCCCGTCCAATCGATTTGGGAGAATAAATGGTCCAATGAGCATACCGTTCACCATGCCAGCCCAAACATTCAACGAAAATGTTTGTTGAAAATGTGCCCGACGGACGGCGTGCGGATTTTCTACCGACCAAACATGAGTGTTGCGAAAGTTATTCACCCTATTACGCGTGAACGTAGATTCGTCTGTCACCAATATGCACTTCAAAAAGTCCGGATTATTGTCATGTTGATGCAACAACCACTCACAAAACCGCACTCTTGCTGGAAAATCGTCAGGTTGAAGGGTACAAGTCCTTGTACACGTTGGACGTGAAACGGATACAGCCCCTCTTCACGCAGCGTTTGCCACACTTTAGTTTTTGATACTTGCACTTCTCTAGCCACGTCTCTAGCGCTTTTTTTTTTTTGAAACGCAATCGTTTATACGGGTTCGTTTACCTCTACACGCGTGACCGTAACCGTCGGTTGAAGGTTGCATACTAACCTGACACACTGACCCCGACCCAGTTCTGCCGTCGGGTTGAGACCTTGTACCAGACGGGGTGTCGGGGATATCCCGGCGGGTCGCGGCTACAGGACGGTATTCAGATATTTTTGATGTTGCAGAGTCCTTTATCTCGGTTCCATTAAGACATTGGTGTATATGGTACTAAGAAAAATTGCTTATGTTTTCAAGATCTACACGTCGTGTAAAGGAAAACCCCAACTTTGCGGACACCCTGTATATTTAAAATATATAGTTTTCTAATATTAGGAATGTTTGAGTCGCGGAAAGGCCGAAATGTGGTTTTTTAAATATACTTTCTAATATTACTTTTTGGGTTGTCTCTAGCTGACATAAATGTGAACTATTTACCCCACCCCAATCAATATGATACTATATTCTACGAGATTTTGCGCTAATGCATAACAATCCTTTTTCCTATTTGCTGCCTTTTCCTTTTGTCTTAGCCCTTAACATTGTCTGGGTAACTAGACCTTATAGATTCACGATCTGAGATACTATGGCCAACAAAAGCATGATTACGGTTATGGAAACCATTTTGAATGCGAGCGCAAAGAACTTTACCGCTCGCGGTACACGTTTCTAGAGCGGCAAAGTACTTTGCGCTCTCCATAGCCTACTACACATGGATCGACTTTCTTCCAGGATCATGCCCACTACAAGTTCGCATACGGCGTCCACGACCCGCACACACATGACAAAAAGGACCAACACGAGCACAGAGATGGGCACCACGTTGACGGGGAGTACAACCTGCACGAACCAGACGGTACTCACCGAGTGGTGAAGTACAAGTCCGATCACAAGACGGGATTCGAAGCTGTCGTTGACAGGCACGGTATCGCGAAGCATCCCCACGGGGCTACGAGTTATGTCAAGGTCACCCATTGGGGATACCAAGGTCATTGAGGAGTGATGAACGCAGACCGAAGGGACGTAACTGTGGAGGATCTACAAACTTGGCAATGTACAAATGTTTTTTTATAATAAAGTTTTGTTCAGTTATGTTTTGAGGTTATAGTTTTATTAACCCTAAGACTGCTGTCTAATGGTACCATGCGCATTTGCGGAACACTTTAGTGGAAGCTATAATACTCCAACAGCTCAATCTAATTTTTCTACTGACTACCATTTCACTAATACACTAGCTATGCCTAGTGTACAGGAAATCGATGTGCTACAGGCGCTCAAGAAAATTAAGCCAAAAATGACTGCAGGGCCTGATCAAATACCTGCATTTTTTGTGAGAGATTGTGCGTCCATTTTTTGATCATTTTCAATCTCTCTCTGAAAAATAACCACTTTCCATCTATTTGGAAGTTGTCTAGGGTAATTCCTGTTTTTAAAAAAGGTGAGAGGAATTATGTAGAAAACCATCGGGCTATCACAATTATCAGTAATTTCGCTAAAACATTCGAAATAGTGATACAAACTGTGCTATATTTTCATGTAAGCAGGTCTATCTCCGTCAGTCAACACGGTTTCATGAAGGGCAGGTCCACAGTTACTAACTTGCTACATCTTACTCAATATGTTTGTGAATCAATCGATAGACAACTTCAAACGGATGTAATATATACCGATTTCTCTAAAGCGTTTGATAGTTTAGACCATAACATTCTACTCAATAAGTTATCTAGATTTGGTCTTTCAGATGCATTGTTGCTATTTTTCAGATCTTATTTATGTCATAGGAAACAATATGTTATGTGCAATGGACATAAGTCAAGCGAATACCCTGTAATGTTCGGTGTTCCTCAAGGATCTAAAATGGGACCTCTGTTGTTTATTATGTTCATAAATGATATTTCTGAACTTATCGATATCGATTTTCTTATACAGGGTGACTTTGAAGTTGAGTCATTAATTTTCAGATAATGATTGTAGAAGGAAGATAAACCAAAATATTTGTGTAAAAATAAAAAAAAAATTTTTACCTTGTTTTTTAAAGTATCCTCCCGACAAGTATTTCAGTGCGGACCTGTATTTGATCGTGAGGTCTTGGAGCACCGGCATGCAGTCCCCTGTGTGGTCTTAAGTCACCTGATTCACGAGCCCGTTGTACTACATTAACAAAGGCACGAGGGGTTGGTTGCACTCGATTGGGAAACCGATCCGCATAAACATGTGACATTTTTTATTTCGTTTGAGCCACGCAACAGACACCACTATTCAAACGCGTTACCGACTGACACTGACTGTATACAACTGACTAAAATAATTGTAAAAACATCGTTCCAAATTCTTTCGCTTTTTTGTTTCCGATGCGATGAACCAAACACGACCACATAATATTATTATTGAGACAGGGCGGTACTCAAACTTCCAAAGGGCTATAACTTTGTTACTTTAATTTTACCAGAAAAATGGTAAAGGAAAAAAATATTTCTTTTGATCAGATCTACTCACTGTTAAAATAAATGACTCAACTTCGAAGTCACCCTGTATATGCTGACGATAAGAAACTTTTCTGTAGAGTCTCTAACATTGACGATTGTCATCGCTTGCAATGCAACACTGTAAGGGTTGACAACTGGTGTCGTGAAAACAGACTTGTTTTGAATGCTGCTAAGTGTCACGTTTTGTCGTTTACTTTAAAAATAGGGGTAATGATGTATGAATATAGTATTGGTGACAGGAAACTTGACAGACCTAGTACAATTAATGACTTGGGAGTCACATTTGACAGAAAACTTTCCTTCTCCTATCACATTGAAAATGCTGTTGTGGCTGCATCAAGGCGTATGGTTTTATTGTAAGAAATACCGGTGATTTCCACAACTCCTTTACACTGAAAATACTGTACCATGCTTATGTAAGATCTAAGCTTGAGTATGCGTCCCTGGTATGGTATCCTCATCATCAAATATATATTGACCGCTTAGAGTCCGTTCAAAGAAAGTTTTTAAAATACCTCTCATACAAAGCTGACGGGATATATCCCGCTATTGGCTTTCCTCATAATGAGTTGATGGCGAGACATAAAATCTATAATTTAGAGGGCAGACGCAAAATGAATTCACTTAAGTTCATTCACAAGCACATCCATGGCATTATTGACTCCAGTGTCATCTTAGGACAACTTAACTTCTTAATTCCTAGATTAGCGTCACGAACTACTTTAACTTTTTACTTAGCCAGGATTAGGACTGACATACTTAAGTTTTCCCCTATATATATAATGTGCTGTAATTATAATTCAGTTAATAGCGTTTTAGATATATTTTCGTTTTGTGCGACTTTGGAAGACATTAATGCTTATTTTCGTTAATGCTTGCCGGTGTGATTGTTGAGTGCTGGGTAGGTAAAGCTAGAACGCTTTTTTTCCTCCCAGTTCTGTTGTGAGGTTTTTGTTTGCAGCGTTTTAGCTTTCTCTACATACATCCACAACATGCATTTGTTTATATTTTCATGTTTATCCATCCTGTAATTGGCTATGGCTGTTGGATGTTGCTAAATAAATAAATAAATAAATAAATTAATAACGTAGCGTATCCAGGGAGTCCCAGAAGTCGACGTCAAGCCGGAAACGGGGAATAGGCCAAATCATAATAGTTATCAGAAAAAATGTAAGAAAAATCCAAGTCGAGTACTTTCCAAATTATAGACTTTGAAAAAAAAATCGGAAAAATCTACACCCTGTATTTGTGAGTAATTGAACAGATGAACCTAAGTTGACTGTGTAGGTCCCACGATGCGCTGTCATCAGTTCGTAAATGATTAGGTTTGGCCCATCTGAGAAAAAAGTTAGCTACGAAAAAAAAAATTAAATCACCTTGCGATGACAAAATTCCGCGTGTATGACGATATTGGCCTTCACGATGCAGACTGCACACAGCCCAGCTCACAGCTACACAGCAGTACGGAAGCGATTGCCGACTGTGACGTATGACCACCGACGACGTCGCTTGTCGGTCCCGGGGACCACGTCGCACATACCGACATCCAACGAAGTTTTAAGGGTAAATGATGTGTGACATAGGCATAGTATGGGTGTAGAATTACTGAGGTTTGATATAATGATACCAACCTCAAGAAAAATGAGAATAACCTCCTCCCCTAACCTCCGATTTTTAACCTCTACAAATTTTTTTCCGAAAACGGTCAGGATATTCTAAAATGTGGAAAAACGAAGTTTGAACGATTTTTATTATTTGTTTTTGGCTTTTTTCTTCGCCGCCACTGGGCCGATTTGCGTCCTCGGCATAGTAGTAACATTGTGTAAAAACTTGATAGAAATCGGTATCTTGAAATGTGACATTATGCCTAAACGAAAATCGGTAATAAATAAGATTGAAAATGAAATACTGATTTTTTAGCATGCACGTTTTGTTTGTTAGACTGAAAGTATGCAGACCTTTGTTTTGGGATGTTTCAATTTTGTAAAAGTAAAACGAGTTTTTAAAAAAATATGTTTTGTAGATTTACGCCACTTCGTGACGACTCTTGTTTCTTTTATAGTGTAGTTAAAACTGCACATGGGTATCAAAGTATCGAAAATACTGTTTCAAAAATAAAAATGTTTTATTCTCTACATAATATTATAAGTAAATGACAAGAAAAATAAACATTTTGTTTAAGTCGATATTCACAACAACACAACAGTATTTATAAGACACATGCGCCGGTACGTACTGTATAATTATCGGTCAAATATCGAAAACCAGTTTTAACGCAGAGGGGTAAACGTGAAAATTGTTTTCGGAATTTTTCAAGAATTTTATTTTCAAGCAGCGAACTGGTATACATTTACGTCGCTTCGTGGGGTGAGATACTACAAAAACTATGTGCAATTACGGCGTAACTCGATTTTAGATTTTTTTTGTCATTTACGCCTGTACGCGCGGAGACCGACGTTATCGCTAAAATTCCGAAAATGAGATATGTGTTTTGGATGCTATATGACGATATCCCTTATTTCCGTTGATCTCTCTGTCTATTTGTCGGTCGGTCCGCTAATGTTATATCTGCCTGTCACTTGAGAAGACGGTCTCTATTCGTCATTGTCTGTCAGAGTGGTCCGTAGGACCTTTGCTCTTGGTTGAAGTCTTGTAAGTCAGTAGGTCGGTCAGGTCTGGTTGCCCAGATACCAAACAAAGTCACGGAGAAAGAAGGGAAGAAGAAAGGAAGGAAGGAAGGAAGGAAGGAGGGAGAGCAAAGAAAAAAGAAGTGCATCAATTTGAGGGGTGCCTTGGCATTGCTAGTTAGTATTCTGTAATTTTAAATTGTTCCTAAAATTAATTTTGGGATTGGTTGTTGAAGAAAAATTATAATTTTGGTTGGACCTAAAGTCGCACAATTTAATTTTGTTCACAGTGCTAGTCGCGGCCTTGTGTGCTTGCGAACTTGCTCGGCTGTGTAGTCTACTGACTCGCGCAACAAAGGGTTGTTATGCGATTCTGCTTGACTGTAACGTAGCTGCGCTTGTTGTTTGATGTAATCCCTTAGGTAAGGGATGTCAAGGTCTCTGTGAAGGGTCTCGTTGGAAACATACCATGGGGCGTTAGTGATTGTACGCAAGGTTCTGTTCTGCAAAACCTGCAGGCTACGCAAATGCGTTTTGGCGAGAAAACACCAAGCCGCACTTGCGTAAGTGATCGCTGGTCTAATAACCATCTTGTATAGCCAAACTTTGTTGATCAAACTTAATTTTGAGGTTCTACATAGCATAGGGTAGAGTTGCCGAAACGAGATTTGGAATTTAGTTTTTAACGCTTCAGTGTGCTTCTGCCAGGTTATCCCCTTGTCAAGAGTGACACCAAGATACTTAGCAGAGCTTTCCCATGGTATCCGAGCTCCATTCACTGAAACCTCAGACGGGGCGCCGCTACGTTTTTTAGTACAATAGATTGCCTGCGTTTTCGAATGATTAATTTTGATCAGCCATCGATTCGCCCATTCCAATACCTCGTCCACTGCACTTTGCAGCCTGTCATGAACTAGAT